GGTCACACAGGGAAACTCAGTATTCCCACAGGGAAACTCAGTAGTCCCACAGGGAAACTCAGTAGTCCCACAGGTAACTCAGCAGTTCCACAGGGAACTCAGTTCTCCCACAGGGAACTCGGTAGTCCCACAGGGAACTCGGTAGTCCCACAGGGAACTCAGTAGTCCCACAGGGAAACTCAGCAGTCCCACAGGGAAACTCAGTAGTCCCACAGAGAACTCAGTAGTCCCACAGGGAACTCACTAGTCCGACAGGGAAGTCAGTAGTCCCACAGGGAACTCAGTAGTCCCACAATGAAACCAGTATCCCCACAGGCAACTCAGTAGTCCCACAGGTAACTCAGTAGTCCCAAAGGGAATTCAGTAGCCCCACAGGTAACTCAGTAGTCCCACAGGGAACTCAGTAGCCCCACAGGTAACTCAGTAGTTCCTCAGAGAACTCAATAGTCCCACAGGTAACTCAGTAGTCCCAAAGGGAATTCAGTAGCCCCACAGGTAACTCAGTAGTCCCACAGGGAACTCAGTAGCCCCACAGGTAACTCAGTAGTTCCTCAGAGAACTCAATAGTCCCACAGGTAACTCAGTAGTCCCACAGGGAACTTAGTATTCCCACAGGTAACTCAGGAGTCCTACAGGGAACTCAGTTGTCCTACAAGAAACTCAGTAGTCCCACAGGTAACTCAGTAGTCCCACAGGAACTCAGTAGTCCCACAGGTAACTGAGTAGTCCCACAAGTAACTCTGTAGTCCCACAGGGAATTCAGTAGTCCCACAGGTAACTCAGTAGTCCCACAGGTAACTCAGCAGTTCCACAGGGAACTCTGTAGTCCCACAGGGAACTCAGTAATCCCACAGGTAAATCAGTAGTCCCACAGGAAACTCAGTAATCCCACAGGGAACTCGGTAGTTCCACAGGGAACTCAGTAGTCCATCAAGTAACTCAGTAGTCACACGGGAAACTCAGTAGTCCCACAAGTAACTCAGTAGTCACACAGGGAACTCAGTAGTCCCACGGGGAACTCAGTAATCCCACAGGTAAATCAGTAGTCCTACAGGAAACTCAGTAATCCCACAGGGAACTCGGTAGTTCCACAGGGAACTCAGTAGTCCATCAAGTAACTCAGTAGTCACACGGGAAACTCAGTAGTCCCACAAGTAACTCAGTAGTCACACAGGGAACTCAGTAATCCCACGGGGAACTCAGTAGTTTCACAGGGAACTCAGTAGTCCCACAGGGAACTCAGTAGTCCTACAGGGAAGTCAGTAGCTCCACAGGGGGAACTCAGTGGTCACACAGGGAAACTCAGTATTCCCACAGGGAAACTCAGTAGTCCCACAGGGAAACTCAGTAGTCCCACAGGTAACTCAGCAGTTCCACAGGGAACTCAGTTCTCCCACAGGGAACTCGGTAGTCCCACAGGGAACTCGGTAGTCCCACAGGGAACTCAGTAGTCCCACAGGGAAACTCAGCAGTCCCACAGGGAAACTCAGTAGTCCCACAGAGAACTCAGTAGTCCCACAGGGAACTCACTAGTCCCACAGGGAACTCAGTAGTCCCACAGGGAACTCAGTAGTCCCACAATGAAACCAGTATCCCCACAGGTAACTCAGTAGTCCCACAGGTAACTCAGTAGTCCCAAAGGGAATTCAGTAGCCCCACAGGTAACTCAGTAGTCCCACAGGGAACTCAGTAGCCCCACAGGTAACTCAGTAGTTCCTCAGAGAACTCAATAGTCCCACAGGTAACTCAGTAGTCCCACAGGGAACTTAGTAGTCCCACAGGTAACTCAGGAGTCCTACAGGGAACTCAGTTGTCCTACAAGAAACTCAGTAGTCCCACAGGTAACTCAGTAGTCCCACAGGAACTCAGTAGTCCCACAGGTAACTGAGTAGTCCCACAAGTAACTCTGTAGTCCCACAGGGAATTCAGTAGTCCCACAGGTAACTCAGTAGTCCCACAGGTAACTCAGCAGTTCCACAGGGAACTCTGTAGTCCCACAGGGAACTCAGTAATCCCACAGGTAAATCAGTAGTCCCACAGGAAACTCAGTAATCCCACAGGGAACTCGGTAGTTCCACAGGGAACTCAGTAGTCCATCAAGTAACTCAGTAGTCACACGGGAAACTCAGTAGTCCCACAAGTAACTCAGTAGTCACACAGGGAACTCAGTAGTCCCACGGGGAACTCAGTAATCCCACAGGTAAATCAGTAGTCCTACAGGAAACTCAGTAATCCCACAGGGAACTCGGTAGTTCCACAGGGAACTCAGTAGTCCATCAAGTAACTCAGTAGTCACACGGGAAACTCAGTAGTCCCACAAGTAACTCAGTAGTCACACAGGGAACTCAGTAATCCCACGGGGAACTCAGTAGTTTCACAGGGAACTCAGTAGTCCCACAGGGAACTCAGTAGTCCTACAGGGAAGTCAGTAGCTCCACAGGGGGAACTCAGTGGTCACACAGGGAAACTCAGTATTCCACAGGGAAACTCAGTAGTCCCACAGGGAAACTCAGTAGTCCCACAGGTAACTCAGCAGTTCCACAGGGAACTCAGTTCTCCCACAGGGAACTCAGTAGTCCCACAGTGAACTCAGTAGTCCCACAGGGAACTCAGTAGTCCCACAGGGAACTCAGTAGTCTCACAGGGAACTCAGTGGTCCCACAGGGAAACTCAGTAGTCCCACAGGGAAACTCAGTAGTCCCACAGGGAACTCAGTAGTCCCACAGGGAACTCAGTAGTCCCACAGGTAACTCAGTAGTCCCACAGGGAACTCAGTAGTCCCACAGGTAACTCAGCAGTTCCATAGGGAACTCTGTAGTCCCACAGGGAACTCAATAATCCCACAGGTAACTCAGTAGTCCCACAGGGAACTCGGTAGTCCCACAGGGAACTCGGTAGTCCCACAGGGAACTCAGTAGTCCCACAAGTAACTCAGTAGTCACACTGGAAACTCAGTAGTCCCACACGTAACTCAGTAGTCACACGGGGAACTCAGTAGTCCCACCGGGAACTCAGTAGTCCCACAGAGAACTCAGTAGTTCCACATGGAAGTCAGTAGTCCCACAGGGAACTCAGTGGTCCCACAGGGAAACTCAGCAGTCCCACAGGAAACTCAGTAATCCCACAGGGAACTCAGTAGTCCCACAGGGAACTCTGTAGTCCCACAGGGAACTCAGTAGTCCCACAGGGAACTCAGTAGTCCCACAAGGAAATTAGTAGCCCCACAGGTAACTCAGTAGTCCCACAGGTAACTCAGTAGTCACAAAGGGAATTCAGTAGCCCCACAGGTAACTCAGTAGTCCCACAGAGAACTCAGTAGTCACAAAGGGAATTCAGTAGCCCCACAGGTAACTCAGTAGTCCCACAGGGAACTTAGTAGTCCCACAGGTAACTCAGTAGTCCTACAGGGAACTCAGTAGTCCCACAAGAAACTCAGTAGTCCCACAGGTAACTCAGTAGTTCCACAGGAACTCAGTAGTCCCACAGGTAACTGAGTAGTCCCACAAGTAACTCAGTAGTCCCACAGGGAACTCAGTAGTCCCACAAGTAACTCAGTAGTCCCACAGGTAACTCAGCAGTTCCACAGGGAACTCTGTAGTCCCACAGGGAACTCAGTAATCCCACAGGTATATCAGTAGTCCCACAGGAAACTCAGTAATCCCACAGGGAACTCGGTAGTTCCACAGGGAACTCAGTAGTCCATCAAGTAACTCAGTAGTCCCACAAGTAACTCAGTAGTCACATAGGGAACTTAGTAGTCCCACGGGGAACTCAGTAGTCCCACAGGGAACTCAGTAGTCCCACAGGGAAGTCAGTTGCTCCACAGGGGGAACTCAGTGGTCCCACAGGGAAACTCAGTAGTCCCACAGGGAAACTCATAGTCCCACAGGGAACTCAGTAGTCCCACAGGGAACTCTGTAGTCCCACAGGGAACTCAGTAGTCCCACAGGGAACTCAGTAGTCCCACAGGGAACTCAGTAGTCCCACAGGGAACTCAGTAGTCCCACAGGGAACTCAGTAGTCCCACAGGGAACTCAGTAGTCCCACAGGGAACTCAGTAGTCCCACAGGGAACTCAGTAGTCCCACAGGGAACTCAGAAGTCCCACAGGGAACTCAGTAGTCCCACAGGGAATTCAGTAATCCCACAGGTAACTCAGTAGTCCCACAGGGAACTGAGTAGTCCCACAGGGAATTCAGTAATCCCACACGTAACTTAGTAGTCCCACAGGGAACTGAGAAGTCCCACAGTGAACTGTTGAGTCCCACAGGGAACTGAGTAGTCCCACAGGGAACTCAGTAGTCCCACAGGGAGCTTAGTAGTCCCACAGGGAACTTAGTAGTCCCACAGATAACTCAGTAGTCCCACAGGTAACTCAGCAGTTCCACAGGGAACTCAGTTCTCCCACAGGGAACTCAGTAGTCCCACAGGGAACTCAGTAGTCCCACAGGGAACTCAGTAGTCCCACAGGGAACTCAGTAGTCCCACAGGGAACTCAGTAGTCCCACGGGGAAGTCAGTAGTCTCACAGGGAAACTCAGTAGTCCCACAGGGAAACTCAGTAGTCCCACAGGGAAACTCAGTAGTCCCACAGGGAACTCAGTAGTCCCACAGGGAACTCAGTAGTCCCACAGGGAACTCAGTAGTCAAACAGGGAACTCAGTAGTCCCACAGGGAATTCTGTAATCCCACAGGGAACTCAGTAGTCCCACAGGGAACTGAGTAGTCCCACAGGAAATTCAGTAATCCCACACGTAACTCAGTAGTCCCACAGGGAACTGAGTAGTCCCACAGTGAACTGTTGAGTCCCACAGGGAACTCAGAAGTCCCACAGGGAACTCAGTAGTCCCACAGAGAACTCAGTAGTCCCACAGGGAACTCAGTAGTCCCACAGGGAACTCAGTAGTCCCACAGGGAACTCAGTAGTCCCACAGGGAACTCAGTAGTCCCACAGGGAACTCAGTAGTGCCACAGGGAGCCTATATGATCTGACGACTTTCAGAAAATGGTGGAGATGGCAGCGGAGGCCGCCGACGGGATGTCGTACCTGGCGGCCAAGAAGCTGGTGCACAGGGACCTGGCCGCCCGCAACTGTATGCTGGACGCTAACCTCACCCTCAAGATTGGTGACTTTGGCTTCACCAGGTACCTCAAGACCGACTACTATAGGAAACGTGAGTATTGCCCCGAGAGGACACACGCCAACACTCGGACCTTCATCCTACCTTCACCTCTGACCCACAACTCATTTTTTGCTTTTCAGGATCCTCTCTGCCTCTCTGCCCCACATGCAGGGGCTGCGTGAGTAACATTTCTGCGAAGAAGCTCGAATGATCCCCTAGAGAATATGCATCAGAAAACTCCTCACCGTAGAAGGATTCGAACCCAAGAAGCCAGTCTCTCCATGCACCTTACCTCCTCACTCCTTCTGGGGTGAGGAGTTTTCTGTTGCATATTGGCTTGGGGACCATTTGAGGATCTGCGCACATATGTTACTCACATGACCCATGCATGTGGAGTGATTTGATAAAATATCTGCACCCAAAACGGTTACTGAGTGCTGTTGGGAATTGTGTTAAGGGTCTTCAATTCCTTTAACAGGCGATGTGGCCTAGTTTTGAAAGTACTACACATGCTAAAGTGCATGGAGCCCCCTAGCTGTCTGGGTTCGAATCCTTCTGGGGTAAGGAGTTTTCTGTTATAAATAAATAAATAAATAAATAAATAAATAAATAAATAAATAAATAAATAAATAAATATATATATATATATATATATATATATATATATATATATATATATATATATATATATATATATATATATATATATATATATATGTCGTACCTAATAGCCAGAACGCACTTCTCAGCCAACTATGCATGGCCCAATTTGCCTAATAAGCCAAGTTTTCATGAATTAATGTTTTTTCGACTACCTAACCTACCTAACCTAACCTAACCTAACTTTTTCTGCTACCTAACCTAACCTAACCGATAGAGATAGGTTAGGTTAGGTTAGGTAGGGTTTGATATGTTCGGTCATATATCTACGTTAATTTTAACTTCAATAAAAAAAATTGACCTCATACATAATGAAATGGGTAGCTTTATCACTTCATAAGGAAAAAATTAGAAAAAATATATTAATTCAGGAAAACTTGGCTAATTAGGCAAATCGGGCCTTGCATAGTAGGCTGAGAAGTGCGTTCTGGCTATTAGGTACGACATATATATATATATATATATATATATATATATATATATATATATATATATATATATATATATATATATATATATATATATATATATATATATATATGTCGTACCTAGTAGCCAGAACGCATTTGTCAGCCTACTATGCAAGGCCAAATTTGCCTAATAAGCCAAGTTTTCCTGAATTAATATATTTTCTCAAATTTTTTTCTTATGAAAACATAAAGCTACCCATTTCATTATGTATGAGGTCATTTTTTTTTTATTGTAGTTAAAATTAACGTAGATATATGACCGAACCTAACCAACCCTACCTAACCTAACCTAACCTATCTTTATAGGTTAGGTTAGGTTAGGTAGCCAAAAAAGTTAGGTTAGGTTAGGTTAGGTAGGTTAGGTCGTCGAAAAACAATTAATTCATGAAAACTTGGCTTATTAGGCAAATCGGGCCTTGCATAGTATGCTGAGAAGTGCGTTCTGGCTACTAGGTACGACATATATATATATATATATATATATATATATATGTCGTACCTAGTAGCCAGAACTCACTTTTCAGCCTACTATTCAAGGCCCGATTTGCCTAATAAGCCAAATTTTCCTGAATTAATATATTTACTATAATTTTTTTCTTATGAAATGATAAAGCAACCCTTTTCTCTATGTATGAGGTCAATTTTTTTTTATTGGAGTTAAAATTAACGTAGATATATGACCGAACCTAACTAACCCTACCTAACCTAACCTAACCTATATTTATAGGTAAGGTTAGGTTAGGTAGCCAAAAAAAGCTAGGTTAGGTTAGGTTAGGTAGGTTAGGTAGACGAAAAAACATTAATTCATGAAAACTTGGCTTATTAGGCAAATCGGGCCTTGAATAGTAGGCTGAGAAGTGCGTTCTGGCTATTAGGTACGATATATATATATATATATATATATATATATATATATATATATATATATATATATATATATATATATATATATATATATATAGTCCTCCCTACCATTACCCAATCCACCGTCCCCATGTCCTCCCCACCATCTCCTACTCTCCCATCCCCTCGTCCTCCCCACCATCACCCACACCCCCTGTTTCCTTCTCCTCCCCACCATTCTCCATTGCCTCGTCTCCCTCGAACCCACCATCACCAACTCCTCTGTCCCCTCGTCCTCCCCACCATTCCCCACTCCTCGTCCGATGCATTCCCAAATGATCTGATGTTCCCATCAGAAAATTGGAAACATCAAATGACCTGTTGATCCCATCACTGAAAATTTAGAAGAACAGTTAAAAAACCAAAGGAAAAAATGAAAAAAAAAACTAAATTATACTCACGAAATGAACGGTATGGTTAACATCACAGCTCAATTTTAATGCAACTTCATACAAAATAATTAAATCAAAATGAAAATAAATCAAAATCTATGAAAATTAAATTTATCAATGCAATCAGAAACACTGAAAATGAATCATAACATATTTAGTAAAGCATGTGTTGCTCTTATGTGCAACAGTTGGCCCTGTTTAAAAAAAAAAACATGCTTTAACCGGTCACAGGTGTGGCATCTATATAAAAGGTATATAAAAACACTTGCTTATTCAAATGCAATGTTGAGTCAAAATTTCAAAGCGATCGGTGAAGACCTTTTGGAGATTACAGTGTGTGTTGCTCATCCATACAACATTTAGCACTGTTAAAAAAAATGTTTTTAACTGTCACAGGTGTGGCATTTATATGGCAGGTATATAAAAACACGTGTGTATTGAAATGCAATGCTGTGTCAAAATTTTAAAGCAATTGGTAAAGAGGTTTCGGAGATTTCTTTCACATGAAAACTCACACGAAAAACACAGCTTTTCAAAAAATGCATGTTTTTACCTTTCACAGATGTGACATCTATATAGTAGGCAAATAAAAACAGGCTTGTATGCGAATAGAACGTTGTGTCAAAATTTCAAAGCAATCGGTGAAGAACTTTCAGAGATTAGCGATTTTGAACAAAAATAACATTTACATTTTTATTTATATAGACTAGCTGTACCCGGCCACGCATTGCTGTGGCTCAGCAACGCATGTGCGTTGTTGAGCCACAGCAACCTTTCCCTGTCCCCCAGTCCTCCCCACCATTCCCCCTTCCCTCCATCCCTTTATCCTCCCAACCACTACCCAAAACCCCTCGCCCTCCTAACCATTCCCCACTACCCCGTCCCCTCGTCCTCCCCACCATTCCCCCTCCCCCATTCCCTTGTCCTCCCACCATTCCCCCTCTCAACCGTCCCCCTCGTCCTCCCCTCCATCTCCCACTCCCCTGTCCCCTCATCCTCCTTACCATTTCCCCCCTTCCCCATCCCATCATCCTCCTCACCATCTCCCATTCCCCTGTTCACTTGTCCTCCCCACCATTACCCCCTCCCATGTCCCCTCGTCCTCCCCCTATCCCTCACTCACGTCCTCTCGTCCTCCCCACTATTCCCCACTCCCTCGTCTGATGTATATATATATATATATATATATATATATATATATATATATATATATATATATATATATATATATATATATATATATATATATATATATATATATATATATATATATGATGTATGTATATATATACATCATACATATATATATATGTATGATGTTCTGATGTTCTCATCAGAAAATTGGGAACATCAAATGATCTGATGATGATCTGATGTTCCTATGACTGAAAAATAAGAAGAACAGTTAAATAAACAAAATTAAAAACAATGAAAATATATAAAAAAAATAAACTATTCTCAAGAAATGAGCTGAATGGTAAGCAACACAGCTCAATTCTAGTCACACAAAATAATTAAATACAAAAGGAAATAAATTTAAATTCATGAAAATTCAATTCATCAATACAATCAGCAACATTGAAATGGAATCTTAACATATATAGCATAGTGTGTGTTGCTCTTACATGCAACAGATGGCACTTTAAAAAAAAAAGCCTCTTTTTACCTGTCACAGGTGTGGCATCAATACTTATACTTATGAAATGAACGGTATGGTAAGCAACACAGCTCAATTCCAACGCAATGTCATACAAAATGATTAAATCAAAATGAAAATAAATCCTAATTTATGAAAATTCAATTTATCAATGGAATCGGAAACACTGAAATGGAATCTTAGCTTATTTAGTATAGCGTATGATGCTAATTACATGCAACAGATATGGCACTGTTTAAAAAAAATGTTTCTGCCTGTCACAGGTGTGGCATCTGTATAGGAGGTATATAAAAACACGCACATATTTGAATAGAACGTTGTCAAAATTTCAAAGCAATCTGTTAAGAACTTTCAGAGATTAACGCGTGTGTTCCTCTTACTTCCAACAGATGGCACTGTTTTTCAAAAAAAGCATGTTTTTTCCTGTCACAGGTGAGGCATATATATAGTAGATATACAAAAATATTTGTCTATTCGAATGCAACGTTGTGTTAAAATTTAAAAGCAATCCTTAAAGATATTTCGAAGTTTTCCCACACTTGAAAAACTAAGTTTAAAAAAAACATGTGTTTTTTTACTGTCACAGACGTGACATCTATATAATATGTATATAAAAACCTGCTCGGATGCGAATGGAACGGTGTGCAGAAACGAACATTTCTATTTTTATTTATATGGACTAGCTGTACCCGGCCACATATTGCTGAGCCACGCTGCAGACACCTCAGCCGAACCTTCGTCTTGGCTCTCAGCCTGGCGAGGTTAAAGAGCTTTTCATCCGACCTGGTCCGGAGGTAAATGCCTTCTGTGACAGATCCGAAGGCGTGCCGCAGCATAACTGCGAAGAAAATCCCGAAGAGGGTTGGAGCCAGTACGCAGCCCTGCTTTACTCCACTTTGGATGTCAAAAGCGTCTGATGTTAGGCCATCAAAGACCACGGTGCCCCCCATGTTCTCATGGAAAGATCTGATGATGCTGAGGAGCCTGGGTGGGCTTCCAATTTTAGGGAGGATCTTGAACAGGCCATCCCTGCTGACGAGGTCGAAGGCCTTCATCAGATCTATGAAGGCTATGAAGAGTGGCTGCTTCTGTTCCCTGCAGTTGTCTGAGGGAAAAGACCATGTCGATGGTGGACCTGTCAGCTCTGAATCCGCACTGTGATTCTGGATAGACTCTCTCTGCAAGTACTTGGAGCCTCTTCAATGCGAATCGAGCAAACAGCTTTCCGATAATACTGAGGAGCGATACGGTATTACGTTACGGTAATGTGCAAATAAAATATGGTGCAGGAATATTGCGAGTCAAACTGAATAGCTCTGTTACCACACCAGGGTATGTCAACAGGTCTACTCATCAGAGTACTCAGGAGTAATGTGAATTTTGGTGGGCTTGATAGCCCTATTTATATACGGCGACGGTCGTGGAGATGGCGCTGGTGACTTTAACTATTAATCGGCTCTCTTAAACTGCTTGTTTCGGATGGCGTGAGCTCCCAGCGACCCAGGTGCGAGGTGTGGTGACAGGCAGTCTGGTAGACAGTAGACTGCTGGTGTTGGCTAGACGTCTGGAAGTAGTTGTTGTTGTTCTTCTTGTGGCTGCAGTACTTGAATATATAGACGTGATATGGGTAGAATAGGTGATGATGGATCAGGCCGAATCTCTTACTAGAGATTTTACCGTAACAATATTATATATATATATATATATATATATATATATATATATATATATATATATATATATATATATATATATATTAGTATATTTTTTTTTTTTTTTTTTTTTTTTACGTTTACGAAACGCGCTCGTGTCGCGTCAGACTAGAAATAAAAATGAATTTTGGAGAATTGATTTTTGATTTACCTCCAACAGTGAAAAGAAATGTACGAAAGATTGAGAAAATTCGTGTTAGAATTGTTAATCTTACTTTTTCGGTCATATTTAATATATATATATATATATATATATATATATATATATATATATATATATATATATATATATATATATATATATATATATATATATATATATGTAACTGAAAACTCACACCCCAGAAGTGACTCGAACCCATACTGCCAGGAGCAACGCAACTGGGATGTACAGGGACGCCTTAATCCGCTTGACCATCACGACCGGACAAAAGGAAGTGATAGCCGAAGCTATTTGAACCACTTCCCCGCCGGCACTCGGATGGTAATCTTGGGCATAGCATTTTATCAAATCACCTCATTCTTCTATCACTTCCTTTTGTCCGGTCGTGATGGTCAAGCGGATTAAGGCGTCCCTGTACATACCAGTTGCGTTGCTCCTGGCAGTATGGGTTCGAGTCACTTCTGGGGTGTGAGTTTTCAGTTGTATATAGTCCTGGGGACTATTCAGGCTTGTTTGCATATATATATATATATATATATATATATATATATATATATATATATATATATACATATATACATATATATATATATATATATATATATATATATATATATATATATATATATATATATATATGTATATATACATATATATATATATATATATATATATATATATATATATATATATATATATATATATATATATATATATATATATATATATATATATATATATATATATATATATATATATATATATATATATATATATATATATATATATATATATATATATATATATATATAATGTCGTACCTAGTAGCCAGAACTCACTTCTCAGCCTACTATGCAAGGCCCGATTTGCCTAATAAGCCAAGTTTTACTGAATTAATATATTTTCTCTAATTTTTTTCTTATGAAATGATAAAGCTACCCATTTCATTATGTATGAGGTCAATTTTTTTTTATTGGAGTTAAAGTTAATGTAGATATATGACCGAACCTAACCAACCCTACCTAACCTAACCTAACCTATCTTTATAGGTTAGGTTAGGTTAGGTAGCCAAAAACGTTAGGTTAGGTTAGGTTAGGTAGGTTAGGTTGTCGAAAAAACATTAATTCATGAAAACTAGGCTTATTAGGCAAATCGGGCCTTGCATAGTAGGCTGAGAAGTGAGTTCTGGCTACTAGGTACGACATATATATATATATATATATATATATGTCGTACCTAATAGCCAGAACGCACTTCTCAGCCTACTATTCAAGGCCCGATTTGCCTAATAAGCCAAGTTTTCATGAATTAATGCTTTTTCTTCTACCTAACCTACCTAACCTAACCTAACCTAGCTTTTTTTGGCTACCTAACCTAACCTTACCTATAAATATAGGTTAGGTTAGGTTAGGTAGGGTTGGTTAGGTTCGATCATATATCTACGTTAATTTTAACTCCAATAAAAAAAAATTGACCTCATACATAGAGAAAAGGGTTGCTTTATCATTTCATAAGAAAAAAATTATAGTAAATATATTAATTCAGGAAAACTTGGCTTATTAGGCAAATCGGGCCTTGAATAGTAGGCTGAGAAGTGAGTTCTGGCTACTAGGTACGACATATATATATATATATATATATATATATATATATATATATATATATATATATATATATATATATATAAGTTTGTAAGTTTGTGAGGGAACCACCTCTGGTGCCAATATGAGGACCCTTAGCCTTGGAAAAGAAAATATACACACACACATCCAAACTCTGTGTGTGTGTGTGTGTGTGTGTGTGTGTGTGTGTGTGTGTATGTGTGTGTGTGTGTGTGTGTGTGTGTGTGTGTGTGTGTGTGTGTGTGTGTGTTTGTGTGTGTGTGTGTGAGTGAGTGAGATTTTATGCGTGTGTGTGTGTGTGTGTGTGAGTGAGTGTGATTTTATGCGTGTGGCGTGTGTGTGAGAGAGAGAGGTAGTTTAGAGAGGCAGTAGGCCATGATGTTGTTGATGAAGTTAACATGTATGGTGTCGACTTGTGACCACAGAAGGCTGGGGTCTCCTGCCAGTGAGGTGGATGGCTCCGGAGTCCCTCCAGTATGGTCGCTACTCCTCCAGGTCCGACGTGTGGAGCTACGGCGTCCTGCTGTGGGAGATTGTCACCAGATGCGCCTTTCCCTACGAGGTACTGTCACCAGATGCGCCTTTCCCTATGAGTCCACACACCTTCCCTACTAGCTACTGTCCACACACCTTCCCTACTAGCTACTGTCCACACACCTTCCCTACTAGCTACTGTCCACACACCTTCCCTACTAGCTACTGTCCACACACCTTCCCTACGAGGTACTGTCCACACACCTTCCCTACTAGCTACTGTCCACACACCTTCCCTACTAGCTACTGTCCACACACCTTCCCTACTAGCTACTGTCCACACACCTTCCCTACTAGCTACTGTCCACACACCTTCCCTACTAGCTACTGTCCACACACCTTCCCTACGAGGTACTGTCCACACACCTTCCCTACTAGCTACTGTCCACACACCTTCCCTACGAGGTACTGTCCACACACACTTCCCTACAAGCTACTGTCCACACACACTTCCCTACAAGCTACTGTCCACACACCTTCCCTACGAGGTACTGTCCACACACCTTCCCTACTAGCTACTGTCCACACACCTTCCCTACGAGGTACTGTCCACACACCTTCCCTACTAGCTACTGTCCACACATCTTCCCTACGAGGTACTGTCCACACACACTTCTCCTGTGAGGTACTGACCACATACACTTCTCCTGTGAGGTACTGTCCACACACACTTCCCCCGTGAGGTACTGTCCACACACCTTCTCTACAAGCTACTGTCCACAAATCTTCCCTACGAGGTACTGTCCACACACACTTCTCCTGTGAGGTACTGTCCACACACACTTCTCCTGTGAGGTACTGTCCACACACACTTCTCCTGTGAGGTACTGTCCACACACACTTCCCCCGTGAGGTACTGTCCACACACTTCCCCCGTGAGGTACTGTCCACACACACTTCGCCCGTGAGGTACTGTCCACACACACTTCCCCCGTGAGGTACTGTCCACACACTTCCCCCGTGAGGTACTGTCCACACACACTTCCCCCGTGAGGTACTGTCCACACACACTTCCCCCGTGAGGTACTGTCCACACACTTCCCCTGTGAGGTACTGTCCACACACACTTCCCCTGTGAGGTACTGTCCACACACACTTCTCCTGTGAGGTACTGTCCACACACTTCCCCTGTGAGGTACTGTCCACACACTTCCCCTGTGAGGTACTGTCCACACTCTTTCCCTGTGAGGTACTGTCCACACACTTCCCCCGTGAGGTACTGTCCACACACTTCCCCCGTGAGGTACTGTCCACACACTTCCCCCGTGAGGTACTGTCCACACACTTCCCCCGTGAGGTACTGTCCACACTCTTCCCCTGTGAGGTACTGTCCACACACTTCCCCCGTGAGGTACTGTCCACACACTTCCCCCGTGAGGTACTGTCCACACACTTCCCCCGTGAGGTACTGTCCACACACTTCCCCTGTGAGGTACTGTCCACACACTTCCCCCGTGAGGTACTGTCCACACACTTCCCCTGTGAGGTACTGTCCACACACTTCCCCTGTGAGGTACTGTCCACACACTTCCCCTGTGAGGTACTGTCCACACACTTCCCCCGTGAGGTACTGTCCACACACTTCCCCTGTGAGGTACTGTCCACACACTTCCCCCGTGAGGTACTGTCCACACACTTCCCCTGTGAGGTACTGTCCACACACTTCCCCTGTGAGGTACTGTCCACACACTTCCCCCGTGAGGTACTGTCCACACACTTAACCTGTGAGGTACTGTCCACACACTTCCCCTGTGAGGTACTGTCCACACACTTCCCCCGTGAGGTACTGTCCACACACTTCCCCCGTGAGGTACTGTCCACACACTTCCCCCGTGAGGTACTGTCCACACACTTCCCCTGTGAGGTACTGTCCACACACTTCCCCTGTGAGGTACTGTCCACACACACTTCCCCTGTGAGGTACTGTCCACACACTTCCCCCGTGAGGTACTGTCCACACACTTCCCCTGTGAGGTACTGTCCACACACACTTCCCCCGTGAGGTACTGTCCACACACACTTCCCCCGTGAGGTACTGTCCACACACACTTCCCCTGTGAGGTACTGTCCACACACTTCCCCCGTGAGGTACTGTCCACACACTTCCCCCGTGAGGTACTGTCCACACACTTCCCCCGTGAGGTACTGTCCACACACTTCCCCCGTGAGGTACTGTCCACACACTTCCCCTGTGAGGTACTGTCCACACACTTCCCCCGTGAGGTACTGTCCACACACACTTCCCCCGTGAGGTACTGTCCACACACTTCCCCCGTGAGGTACTGTCCACACACTTCCCCCGTGAGGTACTGTCCACACACTTCCCCTGTGAGGTACTGTCCACACACTTCCCCTGTGAGGTACTGTCCACACACACTTCCCCTGTGAGGTACTGTCCACACACACTTCCCCCGTGAGGTACTGTCCACACACACTTCCCCTGTGAGGTACTGTCCACACACACTTCTCCTGTGAGGTACTGTCCACACACACTTCTCCTGTGAGGTACTGTCCACACACACTTCTCCTGTGAGGTACTGTCCACACACACTTCCCCCGTGAGGTACTGTCCACACACTTCCCCTGTGAGGTACTGTCCACACACACTTCCCCTGTGAGGTACTGTCCACACACACTTCCCCTGTGAGGTACTGTCCACACACACTTCCCCCGTGAGGTACTGTCCACACACTTCCCCCGTGAGGTACTGTCCACACACACTTCCCCTGTGAGGTACTGTCCACACACACTTCCCCCGTGAGGTACTGTCCACACACACTTCCCCTGTGAGGTACTGTCCACACACACTTCTCCTGTGAGGTACTGTCCACACACACTTCTCCTGTGAGGTACTGTCCACACACACTTCCCCTGTGAGGTACTGTCCACACACACTTCCCCCGTGAGGTACTGTCCACACACTTCCTCTGTGAGGTACTGTCCACACACTTCCCCCGTGAGGTACTGTCCACACACACTTCTGTGAGGTACTGTCCACACACACTTCTCCTGTGAGGTACTGTCCACACACACTTCCCCTGTGAGGTACTATCCACACACACTTCCCCTGTGAGGTACTGTCCACACACACTTCCCCCGTGAGGTACTGTCCACACACACTTCCCCCGTGAGGTACTGTCCACACACTTCCCCTGTGAGGTACTGTCCACACACTTCCCCTGTGAGGTACTGTCCTCACACACTTCCCCTGTGAGGTACTGTCCACACACTTCCCCCGTGAGGTACTGTCCACACCCTTCCCCCGTGAGGTACTGCCCACACACTTCCCCCGTGAGGTACTGTCCACACACTTCCCCCGTGAGGTACTGTCCACACACACTTCCCCCGTGAGGTACTGTCCACACACTTCCCCTGTGAGGTACTGTCCACACACTTCCCCCGTGAGGTACTGTCCACACACACTTCCCCCGTGAGGTACTGTCCACACACTTCCCCCGTGAGGTACTGTCCACACACTTCCCCCGTGAGGTACTGCCCACACACACTTCCCCCGTGAGGTACTGTCCACACACTTCCCCCGTGAGGTACTGTCCACACACACTTCCCCCGTGAGGTACTGTCCACACACACTTCCCCTGTGAGGTACTGTCCACACACTTCCCCCGTGAGGTACTGTCCACACACACTTCCCCTGTGAGGTACTGTCCACACACACTTCCCCCCGTGAGGTACTGTCCACACACTTCCTCTGTGAGGTACTGTCCACACACTTCCCCCCGTGAAGTACTGTCCACACACTTCCCCTGTGAGGTACCGTCCTCACACACTTCCCCTGTGAGGTACTGTCCACACACTTCCCCTGTGAAGTACTGTCCTCACACACTTCCCCCGTGAGGTACTGTCCACACACTTCCCCTGTGAGGTACTGTCCACACACTTCCCCTGTGAGGTACTGTCCTCACACACTTCCCCCGTGAGGTACTTCCAGCATGTTTGTTATCAGAAATCTTTGATTTAAACAAACATAGAAGCTAAATAGTTGTTAAAGTTATAAACAAACGGACCAAACCTTAATTATTCCTCATATTTGATTAGTGTGCTCATATTAGCAACACTGCTCACAGTATAGTGTGCTCATATTAGCAACACTGCTCACAGTATAGTGTGCTCATATTAGCAACACTGCTCACAGTATAGTGTGCTCATATTAGCAACACTGCTCACAGTATAGTGTGCTCATATTAGCAACACTGCTCACAGTATAGTGTGCTCATATTAGCAACACTGCTCACAGTATAGTGTGCTCATATTAGCAACACTGCTCACAGTATAGTGTGCTCATATTAGCAACACTGCTCACAGTATAGTGTGCTCATATTAGCAACACTGCTCACAGTATAGTGTGCTCATATTAGCAACACTGCTCACAGTATAGTGTGCTCATATTAGCAACACTGCTCACAGTATAGTGTGCTCATATTAGCAACACTGCTCACAGTATAGTGTGCTTATATTAGCAACACTGCTCACAGTATAGTGTGCTCATATTAGCAACACTGCTCACAGTATAGTGTGCTCATATTAGCAACACTGCTCACAGTTTCTATACAAAAATGAGAGAGTGGCTGCCAGTACTCCTTCAGTCCAAAACTATAGTACTAAAGTGCCAGTACTCCTACAGTCTAACTACAGTACTAAAGTGCCAGTACTCCTACAGTCTAACTACAGTACTCAAGTGCCAGTACTCCTACAGTCTAACTACAGTACTAAAGTGCCAGTACTCCTACAGTCCTAAACTACAGTACTAAAGTGCCAGTACTCCTACAGTCTAACTACAGTACTCAAGTGCCAGTACTCCTACAGTCTAACTACAGTACTCAAGTGCCAGTACTCCTACAGCACTAAACAACAGTACTAAACTACATTCCTCGAACACTGTGCAGGATAGACATCAGTCTGTGTATATAAATATGTAGGTTAGGTTATCATTTGAAAACAATTACAGTCACTTTCTGTGGTTGATTGTTATTGAACAATCAAATCAGATTGTTATTGAACAATCAAATCAGATTGTTATTGAACAATCAAATCAGATTGTTATTGAACAATCAAATCACTGAATTATATGTTTAACGGATCTCTAATCCTGTTCATGGAGGACAAAAAAAAATGTACATATGCTGGTTCGCATTGTAAATGTGTGGCCACGTCTGTGGTAGAAAATAATGATAAAAAAGTACTACAATGACTGGAATATGAGGGTGGCCACCATTACAACAATGACTGGAATATCAGAGTTGCTACCAGTCATTGTAGCATGTGCTACAATGATTTGAATATGAGAAACTAGCTATCACATGCTACAGCACGCGCAGCAAGTGTCAGGCAGCACGTGCAGCAAGTGTCAGGCAGCACGTGCAGCAAGTGTCAAGCAGCACGTGCAGCAAGTGTCAGCAAGTGTCAGGCAGCACGTCCAGCAAGTGTCAGGCAGCACGTCCAGCAAGTGTCAACCAGCACGCGCAGCAAGTGTCAGGCAGCACGTCCAGCAAGTGTCAACCAGCACGCGCAGCAAGTGTCAGGCAGTACGTCCAGCAAGTGTCAAGCAGCAAGTGTAAAGCAGCACGTGCAGCAAGTGTCAGCAGCACGTGCAGCAAGTGTCAGCGGCACGTGCAGCGTGTCAAGCTGCACGTGCAGCAAGTGTCAAGTAGCACGTGCAGCAAGTGTTAAGCTGCACGTGCAGCAAGTGTCAAGCAACACGTGCAGCAAGTGTCAAGCAGCACGTGCAGCAAGTGTCATGCTGCACGTGCAGCAAGTGTCAAGTAGCACGTGCAGCAAGTGTTAAGCTGCACGTGCAGCAAGTGTCAAGCAACACGTGCAGCAAGTGTCAAGCTACACGTGCAGCAAGTGTCAACCAGCACGTGCAGCAAGTGTCAAGCAGCACGTGCAGCAAGTGTCAACCAGCACGTGCAGCAAGTGTCAAGCAACACGTGCAGCAAGCGTCAAGCAGCACGTGCAGCAAGCGTCAAGCAGCACGTGCAGCAAGTGTCAAGCAACACGTGCAGCAAGTGTCAAGCAACACGTGCAGCAAGTGTCAAGCAACACGTGCAGCAAGTGTCAAGCAACACGTGCAGCAAGTGTCAAGCAACACGTGCAGCAAGTGTCAAGCAACACGTGCAGCAAGTGTCAAGCAACACGTGCAGCAAGTGTCAAGCAACACGTGCAGCCAGTGTCAAGCAACACGTGCAGCAAGTGTCAAGCAGCAAGTGTCAAGCAAGTGTCAAGCAACACGTGCAGCAAGTGTCAAGCAGCAAGTGTCAAGCAACACGTGCAGCAAGTGTCAAGCAACACGTGCAGCAAGTGTCAAGCAACACGTGCAGCAAGTGTCAAGCAGCACGTGCAAAGCAACACGTGCAGCAAGTGTCAAGCAACACGTGCAGCCAGTGTCAAGCAGCACGTGCAGCCAGTGTCAAGCAACACGTGCAGCAAGCGTCAAGCAACACGTGCAGCCAGTGTCAAGCAACACGAGCAGCAAGTGTCAAGCAACACGTGCAGCAAGTGTCAAACAACACGTGCAGCAAGTGTCAACCAGCACGTGCAGCAAGTGTCAAGCAGCACGTGCAGCAAGTGTCAAGCAGCACGTGCAGCAAGTGTCAAGCAACACGTGCAGCAAGTGTCAAGCAACACGTGCAGCAAGTGTCAAGCAACACGTGCAGCAAGTGTCAAGCAACACGTGCAGCAAGTGTCAAGCAACACGTGCAGCAAGTGTCAAGCAACACGTGCAGCAAGTGTCAAGCAACACGTGCAGCAAGTGTCAAGCAACACGTGCAGCAAGTGTCAAGCAACACGTGCAGCAAGTGTCAAGCAACACGTGCAGCCAGTGTCAAGCAACACGTGCAGCAAGTGTCAAGCAACACGTGCAGCAAGTGTCAAGCAGCACGTGCAGCAAGTGTCAAGCAGCACGTGCAGCAAGTGTCAAGCAGCACGTGCAGCAAGTGTCAAGCAGCACGTGCAGCAAGTGTCAAGCAGCACGTGCAGCAAGTGTCAAGCAACACGTGCAGCAAGTGTCAAGCAGCACGTGCAGCAAGTGTCAAGCAGCACGTGCAGCAAGTGTCAAGCAGCACGTGAGGGGCCTCGTAGCCTGGTGGATAGCGCGCAGGACTCGTAATTCTGTGGCGCGGGTTCGATTCCCGCACGAGGCAGAAACGAATGGGCAAAGTTTCTTTCACCCTAAGTGCCCCTGTTACCTAGCAGTAAATAGGTACCTGGGAGTTAGTCAGTTGTCACGGGCTGCTTCCTGGGGTGTGTGTGTGTGTGTGGTGTGGGGGAAAAAAAAAAAAAAAAAAAAAAAAAAAAAGTAGTTAGTAAACAGTTGATTGACAGTTGAGAGGCGGGCCGAAAGAACAAAGCTCAACCCCCGCAAAAACACAACTAGTAAACACGTGCAGCAAGTGTCAAGCAGCACGTGCAGCAAGTGTCAAACAGCACGTGCAGCAAGTGTCAAGCAGCACGTGCAGCAAGTGTCAAGCAACACGTGCAGCAAGTATCAAGCAGCACGTGCAGCAAGTGTCAAGCAGCACGTGCAGCAAGTGTCAAGCAGCACGTGCAGCAAGTGTCAAGCAGCACGTGCAGCAAGTGTCAAGCAGCACGTGCAGCAAGTGTCAAGCAGCACGTGCAGCAAGTGTCAAGCAGCACGTGCAGCAAGTGTCAAGCAGCACGTGCAGCAAGTGTCAAGCAACACGTGCAGCAAGTGTCAAGCAACACGTGCAGCAAGTGTCAAGCAGCACGTGCAGCAAGTGTCAAGCAGCACGTGCAGCAAGTGTCAAGCAACACGTGCAGCAAGTGTCAAGCAGCACGTGCAGCAAGTGTCAAGCAGCACGTGCAGCAAGTGTCAAGCAACACGTGCAGCAAGTGTCAAGCAGCACGTGCAGCAAGTGTCAAGCAACACGTGCAGCAAGTGTCAAGCAGCACGTGCAGCAAGTGTCAAGCAACACGTGCAGCAAGTGTCAAGCAGCACGTGCAGCAAGTGTCAAGCAGCACGTGCAGCAAGTGTCAAGCAACACGTGCAGCAAGTGTCAAGCAGCACGTGCAGCAAGTGTCAAGCAACACGTGCAGCAAGTGTCAAGCAGCACGTGCAGCAAGTGTCAAGCAGCACGTGCAGCAAGTGTCAAGCAGCACGTGCAGCAGTTTCTTGCAATAGATATATTAAACAAATTCCACAAATAATCAATCAGTGGGACACAGTTCGAGTCCCGGGCAGGGCGACACGCGTGGTTGTGTTTCCTTACTGACGCCTCCCTCTGCCTAGACGTCTAAAGTCACACGTGATCACAGTAACTGTTGTGAGTTGCATCCCGGGGAAGGCCTGTGGCTGGCTCCAGGGTCCTCCATAAGCCCAGGAGCTGTCATCTCTCTGACCGTGTTACACCTGTTATACTCCAACACCTGTGATACACTCAAGTGTGTCCGTCACACACACTCCAAGACACTCTTGTGTCCGCTACACACTCCAAGACACAAATTAGGCTATAGATACTCAGGCCAGTACAGTACAAGACTTAATATTATATTCTTGAATGTCAGCTACAGATGGTGCGAAGATCACGCACCATCGGTCACATCCAGCAAGGCGCGAAAGACGCCTGACTTCTTCTTCAAGGAAACGGATCAGTTTATCGTTTTTAACGCATGTACACAGGCCAGAAAAAATATTCTGATAAATCAAGTACTTGGCCTTTGTACGTTTTCGCTACAAATATTATGATAACCTTTTCTTTTTAATTCCAGGGGTATGTGAATGAAGAAGTATGTGCCATGGTAATATCTGGCTTGCGCCTGGAGTGCCCAGATAAGGGGCCAGAGTTCCTCTTCTCCCTCATGCAGCAGTGCTGGAAGAGTCAGGCCAAGGAGCGCCCTACGTTTATACAGCTTGTGCGCCTCTTGCTGCCCAGGACCTCCAGAAGCTATCTGGTGAGTCCCTACACGTTGTACACGCCTATACCATAAGTAGCACTGCGGCACTTTACATTATTTATGGATAATTCCAATATTTCATACACGGAGTTTGAATGTTCAGTCAGTATGGTGTGTAATGATCTCATACAACCTCTTATGTGAGTGGGTTTTTCAAAAATATGTGTGGATATTCTTTGATTCAGGTTCATTGTTTGTGGTTTTGTTGTGATGAGAAATATGTAAACATATACTGGAGGCTCCTATTTATATCCATTCAAACTCATATATAAACACACTAGGAAGGGTACATGCAGTGCCTCCCTCCCCACATTCACACTCCCTCCCCACGTTCACACTCCCTCCCCACATTCCCACTCCCTCCCCACATTCACTCTCCCTCCCCACATTCACACTCCCTCCCCACATTCCCACTCCCTCCCCACATTCACTCTCCCTCCCCACATTCACTCTCCCTCCCCACATTCACACTCCCTCCCCACATTCCCACTCCCTCCCCACATTCACACTCCCTCCCCACATTCACTCTCCCTCCCCACATTCCCACTCCCTCCCCACATTCACACTCCCTCCCCACATTCCCACTCCCTCCCCACATTCACACTCCCTCCCCACATTCACACTCCCTCCCCACATTCCCACTCCCTCCCCACATTGACACTCCCTCCCCACATTCACATTCCCTCCTTCTCAATATCCCGCTCTCTCATCTGTTTCCTATCCCACCGCCTCTACTTTTATCTTCCCAGTACACCTTCCCTACCCTTCACCACCTCTACCCTTCACCATCTTCCCTACCCTTTACCACCTCTATCCTTCACCACCTTCCCTACCCTTCACCACCTTCCCTACCCTTCACCACCTCTACCCTTCACCACCTTCCCTACCCTTCACCACCTTCCCTACCCTTCACCACCTTCCCTACCTTCACCACCTCTACCCTTCACCATCTTCCCTACCCTTTACCACCTCTATCCTTCACCACCTTCCCTACCCTTTACCACCTTCCCTACCCTTCACCACCTCTACCCTTCACCACCTTCCCTACCCTTCACCACCTTCCCTACCCTTCACCACCTTCCCTACCCTTCACCACCTTCCCTACCTTCACCACCTCTACCCTTCACCACCTTCCCTACCCTTCACCACCTTCCCTACCCTTCACCACCTTCCCTACCTTCACCACCTCTACCCTTCACCATCTTCCCTGCCCTTCACCACCTCTACCCTTCACCATCTTCCCTACCCTTCACCACCTTCCCTACCCTTCCCCATTTTCCCTACCCTTCACCACCTTCCCTACCCTTCACCAACTCTACTTTTCACCATCTTCCCTGCCTTTCACCACCTCTACCCTTCACCATCTTCCCTGCCTTTCACCACCTCTACCCTTCACCTGCTGTGGGAAAACTTGACTTATGTAAATCATATAAATTGATGCTATTTTGATAGCTACAAAGGACCACCACCTTTTGAGAAAAAGTGGAAAACAAGGGTAGAGCAAGCGGTTAAATATTTTACCCCATGAACTAGTGTCCTATGGATGTTTAAATTAATATTACATTGAATAAAAAAAAGGGACTGTATTATGAGTCAATTTCACTCATCCAAATTGGGGGGTTACACGCTAAAAGATTAGTGCATCCCTAGCATTATTCTGGCGCTGGTTCTTCGCCAGAGTAAATAAACTATGAAAGTAAAAATGGGTTGATTTTATAATAATAATTTGAGGTAAATGCACCTCAATATACTACTGTAATATTGACTAGTTTATGGTAAATCAAATTGATCTTCTTGGGAGATCATTAATACAACTACAGAGTTATTACTACTGATAAACATGACCAGCTTAGCTGTAAAAACTAGAGAGGTATAACCAGTTGCCACGCTCCACCGACGACGTGTTGCATGGGGCAAATTGTTGCACGTGTAGGTGGGGAAGCCTAGCACCTCGGTTGCCGAGGTTGACGTGAACCCGGAGCTGGAAGGCAATTACATTGTAGAAATCTTCTACATAACGAACTACAAGTACATCCTAGATTAAGGAATTCTTCCTATAGGAAAATAATTGATATATATGTTAAAGCACTGTAAAATACTTCTACAGAAATAATGAATATAATCGCCTATTTAGATTATAAAACTACTAGAGAGGACTCGTACGGGATTTTGTTATTTTATATACGGCCTAACGACAACTAGCCTAAATTTTAACTGTAACCACATGATAACAGTAAGGAAATAATAGTTGCTGAGCCGCGTGTCCATTGGAGAGAACTGGACAATCCTTCATCCTCCAGCTGCTGCTTGAAGGGCGTTGACTGTGGAATTGCAGTAATTCTCGTTCCAGGACACGGCTGTGATGTGCCAAATGACGTGGGAGCGAAATAAGCAAGATAATAATAATAATAATAATAATTTTTATTTAGGCAAAGGTACATACATAAAGAGATTTTACAAAGTTTGTTGGCTTTATAGATAAGAGCTAGTACATACAATGCCTAAAGCCACTATTACGCAAAGCGTTTCGGGCAGTATCGAAACGTAGCTCGTAGCAGATCGAAACGTAGCTCACTGTTGCACGCTGCTAATGGCGTCCGAGTCGTGTGGTGGCTGGCGACGCCCTCCCTCTTCTTCCTCCTCCCGATTGCGCATGCGCGGCTCTCGATAGACATCTCGAGCGTAAATGGATTTATATATATATCGGAATTAACCAAGGAAAGAAGAGATTGTGACGAGTATTGATGTCACGTTTAATTCTTTTGGGTTAAAATATTACTTCGCGTAACATAAATTTATTTATTAACGTTACGCAGTTAATTGAGGAAATTAAAGTGAAATCATTTACATTAAAATAATTTCCTCTAGTATGTGAAATCAAAGTGAAATCATTTACATTAAAATAATTTCCTCTAGTATGTTTAATATCAGCTAAATAAAGGAGTTCTAGTAAGCAGTAGTATGCTACGAAAATAAACTTATTAGTAAGTAACTATTTTTAGTAAAAGAATTAATAAACTGGATGCTGTTATAAATCCAACTAAATGTGGAAAGAATTTATGTTTCAGCCTGTCCGTCCTCACGTCGTCACTCTGACTAGGAAGAATCTGGCAATATGGCTATTATAAATCATGATGATGATTAATTCTACAAGTTAGTAATTTTAGTAACTACTCGTGGTTAATACAAATGTTGTATAAAAATACAAGAGATGTATGAAACTGTTGGTTATTTCCAACATACCTCGGGGGGGGGGGAGAGAGAGAGAAAACTCAGGTCGTAGTTCAGGTCATAGTACTAACGTACACCTGCTTCTCTATCCTGTAGTTATATTCATGGGTTAGTAGGTTAATACGCACCAAACGAATGTCCTGAATCTGTGGTAGATATGACTAAGCACGGGAACGTAAATTAAATGTTGAAAATGTTGAATTCATCTATAATGAAGAACTCTCTAAAGCTTACAGCAGATTCAATGACTAGTGCCGCTGTGACGTGTAATTGTTGAATTACTTGGTCGCTGAACTGATCTGCAAACTCAGAAAATGTTCTTAAGAATAGATGGCTATGGTCTGCAATGAGGCAGAATGAAATATTGTATAAATTGTAATCTACATTATTATACATTAATTGAAGAAGATTAATCATTGGGTCATTCAAGATCAAGGAAACTTCGATACTACATTAAAATCACTGTTTAGGGTCGCTGTGACTTGTAACTGTAGAGTTACTAGACAATAACGTTACAGAGCATCATGATCACCCCAAACTCAAACGAAGAAATTTGATTTAATATGCACTGCCGTGCAGTAGTCATTATAGACTAATGGTATAATTAAGTTTCTAACTTAGCTAAATAATTATGAGTACAGATTAGGCTGTTAGTTCAAAAAATAATGTCCCTAATACCTACCTAAATAGATGGTTGAATTTTCCCAAACCAACCTAAGTAGAGTGTTAAGTAACTGTGACAACTCACTATTGGTAGTGTCACTCTAGGTGAATGATGAGCATTAGACCTGCTCGAGTGTAAATACGTTAGGCTACAGTGCTATAGCCCTCTAGAGGCTGAACAAACACGTAGTCTATCTAAATAATTTATGAGTAGTAGGTTCTACTCGGTTTATATCATAGTGAGCAATGATAATTGCAGGTTATCATGGTGAGCATAGGTGTGCTCGAATTTCACATTAATTCATAGGTGAGCAAGTTGAATCTGTTCAGGTTAAATAGTGCAGTATCCTTCTTGAGGGATAACTGAGCACAGAATCTATAAAAGATTCAAAGGTGAGCAAGTTAAATCTGCTTGGGTGAAATGGTGCTGTATCCTTCTTCAGGGATAACTGAGCACGGAATCTGTCGAAGGTTCAAGGGTGAGCAAGTTGAATCTGCTCATTAAGCATGTTGGGTAACAATGTGGGATATTTGGGTTTGATTCTGATTAATTAATAATTAAAATAGTAAATTAAATTACGAAGGACCACCCGCTTTTAAAGTAAAGAGGGAAACTGAGAATTTCAGATCATTAGATAAAATTCTAGAGAAAACCAGTGACTATGAATATGACTAGAAAGTATGATCATAAGAATAATTAATGGGCTGTATTATTAAAGAAACAAACCTCAAACACCTACATTGGGGGGTTATTACTGGAGGTCAGTACGTCCAGGAATCAGTGTGGTTCGTTCACTAATTCAATTAATAATAATCTAATCCTATAAATAATGCTGAATATAATATTATTCATATAAAGAAGAGGATGAATATGAGCATAGTAATGAGTTACAGTAAATCACACATTATGTTAAACATTCTGAATGTATCAAATTGCTAGAATATGGAAAAAGGGAAATAAGCCTTAGCTGGTAGTAGGTTCCTTTAGATAACCCTGGAAGTCCTCTTAATCTCCAAGTCTGGTACACTGACGAATGGCACGGTTAACATGGAGAAGACAGCATGAGGAATTCGTCTCTCGAGCTGCAAGATAAATAACTACC